TGTAAGTTGCCTTTGGGCCACCAAGTCGCTTCACGTACCGTAGGGGTTGAAATGTATAAGCTGGAGTCGTTCACTTGCTGGTGACGAGATCGTCCGGGGTAGTAAGTAGCAAGTACATATCTATCCATAATCACTATTCATACCCTCCGCTTCTATGCCCCGCCTCAGCTACCATGCTTCCCCTCAGCTACTATGCTTCCCCTCAGCTACTATGCTCCCCCTCAACTAATATGCTTCCCCTCAGCTACTATGCTCCCCCTCAACTACTATGCTCCCCTCAGAAGTTTTATAGCTTGCAGGATTAGCACATACTAGTGTCACGGGGTTTAGCGACATTTTGACGGGCAGGCACGGCGCAGGCAAGCAGAGAGAACACGCTCCAAGTGTGAGGTTCGACGCAAAAGTAAAGTCGAGTTAACGTTAGTAGATTTAGCTCAGGAGAAGAGGTAGACTAATAGGTAATCTAGGTCCCTGAGATCCGGACTCTGATCGGGAGATCCGGAACGTCCGAATCCCACCCCGTGACACTAGCTCTCTGTCCTGGTAGTTCTTCATACAATCAAACACCCTCTTCGTACTTCAGCATGCGTCCAACCTTGTACTTGAGTATTACACTACACTACTCAAAGCAAGTTCCAATGCACACTTATCCATTTAACCCTTCACTAGTTTATGCAGCCTGAATGCAAATATAGTTACAGTGACAATTGATCATACAAACTCTTAAAACGGGTAGAACAATTTCACTGTGGCTTATTCAAGAGCTCGATGAGTCATGAGATATAAGACATACTAGTACTATCAAGGTTGGATTACTAGGTGTTGTCGACTTATGCATAATACAAGTTGTGTCTACAGTAAGCTCATTACTATATCACCCCCTCGTATGTTCACTATCCCCATGCCTTTCACTGGAGCTCGCAATCGGCGCGCAGATATTGGCTGCGTACGAGTTCCTATAGTGTGCTGCGTACTCGTCCATCAACTTAGCATCGACTTAATGCTACATGTTACGTTAACTAACCTTGCTACAGCATTTCCTATAATCAGTGAGCGTGTATGTACTAAGTACTTAAGTGACTGAATAGGTATTCAATGGTCACATTTAGTACTTGCAGTTATGCTTCCCTGCTCTTTCACAATTTCCGCATTCAGATTGTTCTGTTGGTTCAAGTACAGTAGTTTACATAAATGAAAAAGAAGCACTATAGTTATCGTTAAATACGTAATTGTAGAACGACCTACTAGTGTCGTGAATGCAGTTATGTTTGCTTTATGACAGACTGCCATACCAGGTACCTGTAATGACAAAGATTCACCGAATGATCTAACAATAAACAGCAATTATATCGGTAGTTGAGTTATGCGCAATGTTCCAGCAAATGCTCGGCATCCACAAGAGTAATTTCACCACAGCTATCAGCATTGGGGGTTTGGGGATTCACAACTGTATTACTGTCAATCATCAAAGCCAGCAGCAAGATATGCGGTGCATGTACACTATGCAACACATAACTTGCTGCTGGCTTTGATGCTTGCCCATCACACGGACAATGTGCAGAGCGTCAAGTGGAACCTGGACATGACGATAATCCTCACCAGCGCGTCGTTCGATGGCAGCCTCGTCGTGCTGGACGGCCGCGCTGCAAGCGTTCTCCAATTTCTCGCTCTCGACAGACGTTGTAGGGAGTTGATAACGCAGAGGAAATTGTAAAACTGATTGATTGGCGTTATCTACATCTACATGCATGACTACTGTGACTATACTATATCTAATGCTATATATACGTGCGCTCTGCAGAAGGAACTTCTGGTGTCCATGGCCGAGCACGCCGCACGCCAATCGAGCTTGGTCGTAAACTGACGTCAACAGTGACGTCTGTTCTGATTGGTCGATAACCCTATGACGCCACTGGAGTGACGTCGTTACAGACGTCGAGTCGATGGTGTGGTATGGCACCCCCA